TTTTCTATTTTCCATTTTCCATTTTCCATATTATATATAGTACGTAGTAACTAGTACGTATAAGAATAAGAATAAGAATAAGAATAAGAATAAGAATAAGATTAAAATACTGGTAGATGTAGATTTTTTGAAACGCTTTCTTTGCCAACGACCATACCACGTTGAATACATCGGTTCTCGTCCGATCACCGAAATTAAGCAGCGTCGGGCGCGGTTAGTACTTAGATGGGGGACCGCTTGGGAACACCGCGTGTTGTTGGCTCCACAACACTTTTTTCCTTTTTTTTGCGGTTTTAATTTTTTTTTATTTTATTTTGTTACTAATAATATTTTTCTTTATATCACATATCTATTATTTATTTATATAAAATGCAATTATTTAACTAATTTCTGCTGTATACGTATATTCGCATCATTTTTAATTTTGAAATTGTAATCGTGTCGTATACGAAATGCACGTAAGCTCAAGATTTGTTCAGTTCCATATAAAATGTACAATAGGCATGCATGCGAGTGCGAGTGCAAGTGTGAGTACGAGTGCCAGCGTGAATGAAAACCTTAAATGATAGAAAACTTTTCAAGTAAAATTACTAATTAAGAAGCTTTGCTTATATTCCTTGTCCTTATTGAATAAAATTTAATAAAACAACAATCTATTGATTGCGCCTATTTATTAGCACTAGCACTAGCACTAGCACTAGCACTAGCACTAGCACTAGCACTAGCAATAGCACTAGCACTAGCACTAGCACTAGCACTAGCACTAGCACTAGCACTAGCACTAGCACTAGCACTAGCACTAGCACTAGCACTAGCACTAGCACTAGCACTAGCAGTAGCACTAGCACTAGCACTAGCAGTAGCACTAGCATTCATATGTTAAATTTTTTAATAAAAATATAAGTATGTATAAAATTTTATTCTTCCTTAAAGATTAAGTTAAAGTTAAAGTTAATATTGAAGTTAATATTACAGGCAATAGTACTACATAATTAAGCATGTAAAATACAAACACGGATATGCTCAATAACAGTTTTAGTTTAATTTTCCTATTCTGTTCATATTAACTTCACTAGAGAAGAAGAAAAAAGAAACTTTTCTATTTTATTTTATTTAAATTGAAATGAAAAATAAAATAAAATAGCTTTGGAAATTGCTTTAGAGTATTTTCTATTTTCCATTTTCCATTTTTCATATAATATATAGTACGTAGTAAGTAGTACGTATAAGAATAAGAATAAGAATAAGATTAAAATACTGGTAGATGTAGATTTTTTTGAACACTTCTTTGCAGCCCATACCACGTTGAATACATCGGTTTTCGTCCGCTCACTGAAATTAAGCAGCGTCGGGCGCGGTTAGTACTTAGATGGGGGACCGCTTGGGAACACCGCGTGTTGTTGGCTTCACAACACTTTTTTACTTTTTTACTTTTTTCCTTTTTTTTCCGGTTTTAATTTTTTTTATATTATTTTGTAAATAATAATATTTTTTTTTATACACCTATCTATTATTTATTTATGTAAAACGCAATTATTTAACTAATTTCTGCTGTATACGTGTACTCGCATCATTTTTAATTTTGAATTTTGAATTTTGAATTTTGAAAATCGTAATCGTGTCGTATACGCAATGCACCGTAAGCACAAGTTTTGTTCAGTTCCATATAAAATGTACAATAGGCATGTATGCGAGTGTGAGTGCGAGTGCAAGTGTGAGTACGAGTGCCAGCGTAAATGAAAACCTTAAATGTTAGAAAACTTTTCAAGTAAAATTACTATTTAAGAAGCTTTGCTTATATTCCTTGTCTTCATTGTATAAAATTTAATAAAACAACAATCTATTGATTGCGCCTATTTATTAGCACTAGCAGTAGCACTAGCATTCATATGTTAAATTTTTTAATAAAAATATAAGTATATATAATAATTTTATTCTTCCTTAAAGATAAAATTAAAGTTAAAGTTAATATTGAAGTTAATATTACAGGCAATAGTACTACATAATTAAGCATGTAAAATACAAACACGGATATGTTCAATAACAGTTTTAGTTTAATTTTTCTATTCTGTTCATATTAACTTCACTAGAGAAGAAGAAAAAAGAAACTTTTCTATTTTATTTTATTTAAATTGAAATGAAAAATAAAATAAAATAGCTTTGGAAATAGCTTTAGAGTATTTTCTATTTTCTATTTTCTATTTTCCATTTTCCATATTATATATAGTACGTAGTAAGTAGTACGTAGTAAGTAGTACGTATAAGAATAAGAATACGGTAGATGTTAGATTTTGAAACACTTCTTTGCCAACGACATCAGTTGAATACATCGTTCTCGTCGATAACGGAATTAAGCAAGCGTCGGGCGGCGGTTAGTACTTAGATGGGGGACGCTGGGAACACCGGCGTGTTGTTAGCTCACACATTTTTTACTTTTTCCTTTTTTCCGGTTTTTAAATTTTTTTTTATTTTATTTTGTATTATATATTTTTCTTTATATCACATATCTATTATTATTTAATAAAGCATTATTTAACTAATTTCTGCTGTATACGTGGTGTACTCGCATCATTTTTAATTTTGAATTTTGAATTTTGAAAATCGTAATCGTGTCGTATACGCTATGCACCGTAAGCACAAGTTTTGTTCAGTTCCATATAAAATGTACAATAGGCATGTATGCGAGTGCGAGTGCAAGTGTGAGTACGAGTGCCAGCGTGAATGAAAACCTTAAATGATAGAAAACTTTTCAAGTAAAAATACTAATTAAGAAGCTTTGCTTATATTCCTTGTCTTTATTGAATAAAATTTAATAAAACAACAATCTATTGATTGCGCCTATTTATTAGCACTAGCACTAGCACTAGCACTAGCACTAGCACTAGCATTCATATGTTAAATTTTTTAATAAAAATATAAGTATATATAATAATTTTATTCTTCCTTAAAGATAAAATTAAAGTTAAAGTTAATTAAAGTTAATATTACAGGCAATAGTACTACATAATTAAGCATGTAAAATACAAACACGGATATGTTCAATAACAGTTTAAGTTTAATTTTTCTATTCTGTTCATATTAACTTCACTAGAGAAGAAGAAAAAAGAAACTTTTCTATTTTATTTTATTTAAATTGAAATGAAAAATAAAATAAAATAGCTTTGAAAATAGCTTTAGAGTATTTTCTATTTTCCATTTTCCATTTTCCATATAATATATAGTACGTAGTAAGTAGTACGTATAAGAATAAGAATAAGAATAAGAATAAGAATAAGAATAAGATTAAAATACTGGTAGATGTAGATTTTTTGAAACACTTTCTTTGCCAACGACCATACCACGTTGAATACATCGGTTCCCGTCCGATCACCGAAATTAAGCAGCGTCGGGCGCGGTTAGTATTTAGATGGGGGACCGCTTGGGAACACCGCGTGTTGTTGGCTTCACAACACTTTTTTACTTTTTTCCTTTTTTTCCGGTTTTAATTTTTTTTTATTTTATTTTGTTACTAATAATATTTTTCTTTATATCACATATCTATTATTTATTTATATAAAATGCAATTATTTAACTAATTTCTGCTGTATACGTATACTCGCATCATTTTTAATTTTGAATTTTGAATTTTGAAAATCGTAATCGTGTCGTATACGCAATGCACCGTAAGCACAAGTTTTGTTCAGTTCCATATAAAATGTACAATAGGCATGTATGCGAGTGCGAGTGCAAGTGTGATTACGAGTGCCAGCGTAAATGAAAACCTTAAATGATAGAAAACTTTTCAAGTAAAATTACTATTTAAGAAGCTTTGCTTATATTCCTTGTCTTTATTGAATATAATTTAATAAAACAACAATCTATTGATTGCGCCTATTTATTAGCACTAGCATAGCACTAGCACTAGCACTAGCAGTAGCACTAGCATTCATATGTTAAATTTTTTAATAAAAATATAAGTATGTATAAAATTTTATTCTTCCTTAAAGATTAAGTTAAAGTTAAAGTTAATATTGAAGTTAATATTACAGGCAATAGTACTACATAATTAAGCATGTAAAATACAAACACGGATATGCTCAATAACAGTTTTAGTTTAATTTTCCTATTCTGTTCATATTAACTTCACTAGAGAAGAAGAAAAAAGAAACTTTTCTATTTTATTTTATTTAAATTGAAATGAAAAATAAAATAAAATAGCTTTGGAAATTGCTTTAGAGTATTTTCTATTTTCCATTTTCCATTTTTCATATAATATATAGTACGTAGTAAGTAGTACGTATAAGAATAAGAATAAGAATAAGATTAAAATACTGGTAGAAGTGTAGATTTTTGAAACACTTTTTGCCAAGGCGAACAACCACGTTGTAAGAATCGGTTTCGTTCGATCTACCGAATATTAGCAAGTCGTCGGCGCGTTAGTACTTGTAGATGGGGGACCGCTTGGGAACACCGCGTGTTGTTGGCTCCACAACACTTTTTTACTTTTTTCCTTTTTTTTGCGGTTTTAATTTTTTTTTATTTTATTTTGTTACTAATAATATTTTTCTTTATATCACATATCTATTATTTATTTATATAAAATGCAATTATTTAACTAATTTCTGCTGTTTACGTATATTCGCATCATTTTTAATTTTGAAATTGTAATCGTGTCGTATACGCAATGCACCGTAAGCACAAGTTTTGTTCAGTTCCATATAAAATGTACAATAGGCATGCA